CCCAAAGCCCTAAATAATAGTGCCTCCTTGTGATCAGGGCTTCGGCTCTGCCCGCGCCGGCCTTGTCATCGCGGTCGTGCGGCAAGGTTGGTATGCAGAGGTGGTCCAGAAAATAGGGTTTAGGGTTTAGAGTTCGGGGTTGAGGGTTTAGGGGTCCAGAAAAACGAGGGACAACTCTAACTTACATCTCCTGTATCCTAGGAAGACAAAAAATGAGCCTTGGAGTTTTTATCTAGGGGCTCTAGTACCCGGAAAAGGTTAAATTTTACATACTCTACCATTAATTATTACTAACTAGTTGGATCCTCAATTTCAGGACCCTGTAAAAGGAACTGCTGGTTCTCACCCTGATAGGTCCACAGGGCTTAAGGTTGTGTATCGGTATACAAAACAGGTCACGTTTGGGGTTTTTGGGCTGAGGGCTTGCAGATCTAGCGGTGACATGGAAGTTAGGGAGGCAAGCATAAGAGGGGTGATTACACATCTAGACCTGTCTACAAAGCATTGGCTTGTTTTGGGCTTTGGGCGTTCGGGAGCTTGCGATGTAAGGTTTCGGTTTTTGGATGTTGAGGGCTTTTAAAGTTTTGGGATTTGGAGTTTAGGGGTTTCGATTCACTGCGCGGAGTCGCACAAAGTGTTCCTTCTTGCTGCAATGCATCCTTCATTCGAGATGGACCCCGAATGCCTTTCGGGCATAGGCCTGAGAACGTGACACAAGAATCCCTTAGCTCGTTCTACGAGCCTTCTGGCTTCGTGATGTGGTATTCGGGTGGTGCAACCAGCTTTAGGGTTTTGACACTCACAAGGGTTTAGGGTTTAGGGTGAGCTTGATCTCAACTTGGTCTTGAACCTTACCACTCTGAGAGCTCTGCAAAAAGTCTGCTGCACAGCCTACTTGCGGAGCGCGGAAAGGGAAATACTATCTCTGCCTGGTCAAACCGACGAAATCCGAAACCTCATCAGATCTACATTCAGGGCTGGCCTACCAAGACCCCTTAAAGTTAAAAGCTGAAGCCCTTTCCTGTAAACTCCTTAACGCCAAAAGCTCTGCAAGACTTCGCGAATCGCAGCCGCCTTTGTCGCGCCGCGGGCTGCTGTCCTATCAGTGATTGCAATGTTGGCTTGCGGCGCTTGTGAGCTTTGCCGGGGTTGATTATTATGATGGATCTTCGGCGAACTTCAACGATTATTGCCAGCCCAATAGTTTCGGCATCGATCGCACGAGCAAGAGCGCAACATCTCGAGCCTCATGAGCTTGCGCGCATGTACACGTAAGAGCAGACTCAAAGCAGATAAAGCACCCTGAGCCCCACAACCGCCAAGGAGCACTACTCATTAATAGCGAAGATAGCAAATATCACCTCCAAGAGTCCATGTGCCTATCTTGTGTACTGTAAGGGCCTTAATAATTCGAATAGGGGTTTTGGGGGTTCCTTGTTGTAGTTATAGTAAAATAGGCCCCAAAACCCTATTCTAATTATTAAGGCCCCTATACCAAAAATCGGTTAACTAGCCCTTATAGAACCCTTTAGGGAATCCTTTAAAGGAACCCCACAAATAACCTATTCTAACTATTAGGGCCCCTATATTATACTTCGACCCCCAAAGCCCTTCGAGAGGAACCTGCGAGGGCCCAAATCTACTCCTAAAAGTACTGGTAACCGCTGTGAAACTGTGAGGTAACCTTTAGGGTTTAGGCTTTAGGGTTTGGGGGTTTACCCTAGAAAACAAGAATACAACCCTCGAGACTCTTAATTAAAAACACTAGAAATCCCAAACAAAACGCATCAAAACCCTACAAGATCCTCAAGCACCCCCTTTAAAAAGGGTTTAGGGTTTAGGGTTTAGGGTTTAAGGGGGTTTGGGGTTTAGGGCTTAGGGACTCAACCCTAAACCCTTTGAGGCACAGGGACCCCTGGGGGATAAACCCCCGGCCTCCGCGGGGTCAGACTTCGGCACCAGGGGAGCGGTGCTTTTGCTATCCTGGGTACATAGTTTTGGGGATTTTTTCCCTCTCGCATGGCAGAGAAGTTTTGGGGATTAAGGTTTAGGGTTGAGGACTCAGATTTAGGGTTTAGTTGGGGATTAAAGTCTAGGGTCTAGGGTTTAGGAATTGGGGATTGAGGAAAAGGGTTTGGGAATTAGGGTCTAGGGGGGGGAGGTTCCGGGTGATTCTTTGTCGGCATTTATTGGCGTTTGCTGGATTTCTTATGATTTCCAAGGCTCCTTTACCACCCCGAAGCCCAAGGCCCAACCCTGGAGACCAGCAGCCCTACTTGGAGGATCATGGAATAAGTAAGGTCATAAGTACCCTAATTGGGGGTAGAACTATAGTTAGCTTATTTACAACTTGAGTTGCTAAGCCCCATGATCCTCCAAGTAATGCAAACCTGAATCCCCAGACTCACACAACCTGTACCTAGAATCCAAAGCCTTCAACAGCTTCAGCTCATCCAAAGCCCGAGCCCGGTATTCGCCAGTGATGATACGGCGCAACTGTAGACACGACAACGGTGAGACGACATAATCCTCTTGCGAGAGCCCAGATGCGTGGCCCCGAAGGGCATCCCTCGTCAATAGGACGATATGGAGGCTGTCACAATCTACCCGGAATCTACCCGATTCAAAGCCCTATAAGTAAAACCTAGAGAAGCCTGTAAAACTCTTCCCGCAGCCCCCCCAAGTAAGCCTACCACTACACCCTACCCTAAACCCTAAGCCCCTACACCCTAAACCCTAAACCCCTAAACCCCCAAACCCAAGTAAGCCTAGACCCTAAGCCACTGAGCGCAGCACCCAGCCGCCAAGTTTCCTGCGAGCCCGCTCCGGTTTTAAGGCCCTAGTAAGGGTTTAGGGAGTTTAGGGTTTCGGGCTTACGCTCTCGCAACTCGGACTCCGCCATACGAGGTCTCTGTGTCCAACTAGACTAAGCAACTAGACTTCAGGCTGACAATCACTGCTACACCACAAGGGATGTCGAAAACAAATAACAACCATCACCTCAGCCAAGCCCAACCGAGATAAGATGCATCACATTAGCCCTTCAGTGATTGTCTTGAATACGTCGGCTCATCGACCAACTGTAGTACTGAACAGTTCTCTTTAGAGGCGTGTCCCAGCTGACCGGTTGATGCTACGGAGCAAAGTCGGAGCGAAAACCGATGCAGGAGGGACCGTGACAATCGTGGCGACGAGACTAAGTGAAAGGACTGCTTCAGAGACTGCCTCACGAAGGTAGTACAAGTCGGCGCAAGGTTCAAAACTTAACTCCAAAGGAAGAGAAGATGAAGTAATAGACAACAGCTGGGGCAATTGGTACTACCGTAAATGAGGACAGACCTAGCACCCAGCATCAGAAGGATCAGAACATCTCGGGGACATGCACAGTCGTCGGTACGCAGGTAGCCGTCATGCAGTAAGGACTCTGACCCAGCTTGTTGTGTAAGGCGGGAGTCGTTTCGAGGCCCGAGTTTAAGCGTCATCTGCGAAGCAAAGACCTCAGCTGCAAGTTCCCAGGAACCATTGGTGCGCAGAGCTTCACCGAGCTTCACTGTAGGTTATCCAGCCTTTCAGGGGACCTCGCCCGAACGAGGTCCTGCCCTCGTGCTAGTGGCGGGCGATTTGCTGACACAGACGTCAGGATTTGGACATAGGCCATTACATGGCCCTCTCAGCAGCATCTTAAACCAGTCGCCTGAGGGACCTTCCAGTCACCTGCACAGATCGTGTCGGCTCCTTGTGTTCCATGCCCAGGCACAGTCGGGGTTTGCTGAAAGCACACCGAATCCAACACCATCTGGCATAGTAAAGACAGCCCTTCACCTTCACTTCAGGTAGTGCTTGCAAAAGACACCGTCTCGGAAAAGAGCAGTCTGCAGCAGAACCATGGCGTCAGCGACTGCGGGATAGCCGTTTGGTTTGCTGTGGGGAATTGAAGTTGGGGACAAACAACAGGTTTTATACAATGTGTTGAAAGTATCTAAGGGAACCAGAGAAGGGAAGAGGACGAGTGCCTTGGCATGAACGAAGGCCGGATTCGTGGCAGTCGTCCGCGCGAGTATGCGTGCCGTGTGCTCACACCCTGACCCTCGAGAAAGGACGGCCAGGACGTAGAGGGGACCGTCCATGAGGGTGAGTCCTCTCGTCCCGTGGTACGTCGCCAGCATGGAGCCAATCGCAGACAGAACGGGCACGGTTTCGGAGTGGTACCTCCGCTGCAACGGACCTGCCCATCCTTTAGCGGTCTCCTGTCCCCCCGGGATCCACCCCCTCCGTCTACGGCGTGCTGGGCAAAGGCCCCCTCGCAGCCTCCCACTTCACGCATCGTGCTGAGGAGTGTGGTGTGCTGTTTGAGAACGGGAGGGCTCTCAGCTGAGACGGAGTTGAAGATGTCGAGTGCCCACGCCGGCATGACGACCACACCGTTGCTCACCTCGGCAGAGGTAAAACCCCACCCTTGAGTCAGGACATGGGAGCGGATCATGCCAACGATCAGGGCCCCCGACTGTTCTGGCGTGACCTTCAGGAACGCCGAGGCGTCAGGGCCGGCGGTGACGCCTCTGAGGAACCTTTCGAGGGTGAAGATCTCGGCCTCCACAGCGTCTTCTGCCACGAGATAACACACCGACTGGGGCGTGACGATCGAAAGGGAGAAGTCCCTGATCCTCTGCTCCCGATCCTCGAGGATGCTCTCCTTCTCGCGCCTGGCCACGAAGAGGTTCTTCTCAGCATTAATCCTGGCACCCTAAACCCAAAAACTCCTGAGACGCCTAAACCCTACACACCCAGACCCCCAAACCCTAACAACCCCAAACTGAAAAAACCTAAAGCCCCACTTGTAGCAGCCCTTACAATACCTTTAGAAAGCAACCACACACCCCAAGTCCCCCCCCCAAAAAAAAAAAAAGTTGACACCTAAAACACCCTAAAACGCCCTCAACACCCAAAAAGATCGCTTTTAAATCTACAGGCGATCCCTAAAATCCAAACAAAGGCCCCTCCTGGACTGCCGCCAGTTGTGTGGGCTTGAGCGCCGTCGACCTCCGTGGCTCCCGGTAGGGCTATGTTAGGGTTTTAGGCTTTTGGGTTTAGGGTTTTGGGTTAAGGGTTTTGGGTTTAGGGTTTAGGGTTTGACCTAAACCCTAAACCCTAAACCCTAAACCCGGGGTTCGGGGTTAGGGGTTTAGGGTTTAGGGATTTTGGGTTTTGGGCTCAGGGCCGGGCCTGATTGGTCCGGTGCTCAGACTCTGACAATCCAGGCGAGGCGTGTGGTCTGAGGGGTTAGGGTTTTGGGTTTAGGGTTTTGGGCTTAGGGTTTAGGGTTTAGGGTTTAGGGTTTAGGGTTTAGGGAGGGTTTTGGGTTTAGGGGGTGTAGAGTGTTAGGGTGTAGAATGGGTCTACAGTGTAGGGCTTGAGGGTTTACCAGTCCTGCCGACCAGTTGGGCTTGGAGATGTCGGTAAGCTGGATGTGAAGTCAAGTTTGGGGTCGTGGGGGGGCTTCGATGGAGCCTCGGGTTTGCAGGTTTCGTTTTTGTCTGACGGCCCAATAGCTGCAAACTCTACACACCTACAGAATGAACGATGCAAGCCCTAAACGCCTGACTCCAAAACCCTTTTTGTTAACCCAAGCTCCAAAACCCTTAAACCCAGAAGTCTAAAGCTTTAAAACCCTAAACCCTAAACCCTGAAACCCTAAACCCTAAACCCAGAACTCTAAAGCCCTAAACCGGAACCCCGGAGCCGATCCCCCCCCCTAACTCTAAAAACTGCGCACCCTGAAACCGCGATCCCTGAAAGCCGCGAAACCTCAGAAGCCCTTTTCAACCCGCCAAAATGCCGTAAACCCTAAACCCTAAACCAAAAACAAAAACTTATAGGATCTTCAAAAACCCCCCAGGCCCTGCACCCTAGAGCCCTCAAGCCCCGAACCCCTAAAAACAGGGAGCCCCCTCTACGCGCACCGGCAAATGTGCTCTTGTACCGAGGGCGCTTAAAACAAGAAAGCGCCAAACCCCGAGAACCCATAAAATCCCCACCTTGAGCACCCTAAACCCTGTAAACCCACAAAAACGCAAACCTAAATCCTAAACTCTGTTGTCTAAAGCCCTAAGCCCCACCCCCCCTTACCCCCCAAAAAAATATTTTTATAAAAAAAGGAAACCCTCAGCACCAAAAAAACATGAGAAAGCTCAACCCTAAACCCTGAACCCTAAACCCAAAGCCCTAAACCCTAAACCCTAAACCCTAAACCCTAAACCCTAAACCCTAAACCCTAAACCCTAACCCTAAACCCTCAGCACCCCAGCAAACCCTAAGAAACCGCTGCCCCAAGGCCTTCGGGAGACCGCCTCTCGGCCTTCTCAGACTCGGCTGCCTGCTGGGACCTAGGGCACAGAGGCTTTGCTTCGTTTAAAGGTTGGGGGGGTTTAGGGTTTAGGGTTTAGGGTTTAGGGTTTGGGGTTTAGGGTTTAGGGTTTAGGGTTTGGGGTTTGGGGTTTAGGGTTTAGGGTTTAGGGCAAAAGCTCGCCGCGGCGTTTTGGGGTCCAGGGCTCACGGTTGGGGGGTTTAGGGCTTAGGGTTTAGGGTTTAGGGTTTAGGGGGTTTAAAAGGGTTTAGTTTTTTTTGGTGGTGGGGGCGGGAGGGGGGGGGGGCGTTTAGGGTTTAGGGCTGGGTTTAGGGGTTGCTTGTTTAGAGTTTTGGGTTGAGAGCTTAGGCTTTTTGGTCAAGCTATTCTAGGGGTTTGGGGTTCCTTTTCCACTTGTTCTTACAAGGGTTCCCCTGAAGTTTAGGCTTTTTGGGTAGAGCGTTAATATAGGGGCCTTAATGATCAGAACAAGGTTTTGGGGCCCATTATGCCGTGTTTGAAATACGGAACCCCGGAATAATTTGGATGGTTGCTGGGGCCCCTAGATAAAGCCTTGACCATCCTTAACGCTAAACCCTCAACCTTAAACCCTAAACCCTGAACCGTAAACTCTAAACCCTAAACCCTAAACCCTAAACCGAAAACCCTAAACCCTTTTTGGGGCTCCAGTTTGCAACCCAACGAGCTCAGAGGCTGCTCAACTCAACTCGAAGAATTTCGGTCTTGCGGGAGGACAAGTCCTGAGAGCTCGGGGGCTTTCAATTTAGGGTCTAGGGGTTTAGGGTGGGGTTTAGGGTATTGGGAAGCACTGCAGTGATGCAATTCTGTATGGACATCGTGCTTGACTGCGGGCAGAGCGCCTGCCGAGACAGAATACGGCTCACATGCCTTGAAATCCAAGCTAACCCTTATCCCCAAGCCCTAGACTGGCTTGACCCTGAAGGCCTAAAGACAGTTGGAAAACATACACAGCTTGAGCTCCGCACGCTTGTTCTGCAGGTTCCGGGGCAGCTGCGGGTATGCTGGGCCTTCAGTGCTGACGTATTGTATTGGTCTCTACGAAACTGGAGCCCTGCCCGTGACAATAACAGTCAGAATAAAGTTAGTCGCCATCTGTATCATCATCATGGCCTCCCCATCCTCGCCATGAGCATAATCCTTGCCATCATCGAACCCAACCAAGAATTGGAAAACTGCTGTAGTGGCACGGCATAAACGAACATGCCCATACGAAAGCTGCTCGCAGACGCCAGTGTAGTGTGAAATGGCTTAGCACATGCTATCGGTCTTCGTCGTCGCCGCAGTAGTAGTCCTCGTTGTTGTCGTAGTAGTAGCACTAGCACTAGAACAAGTAGTAGTAGTAGTAGTA